GTCGATGTCTCGGACATCATCGCGCGCAGCGTGCCGATGGGGACACCGGCGCGTGCAGTGTCCGTCTTTGGGCTCTACCACTCGTGCCTCTCGCTGTATCGGTGTCCGCTGGTCAAGATGCCACCCGGTGCGTCCTTCGCGCCCGTTCTTGTCGCGAGCGAAGAAATGCACATGGTGATGATCTACAACACATCGGCCAACTTCAACCTCACGTTGACGTACCCGGCTCTCAACGTGACCGTGGACATCAACAGCGCCACCATGTCATTCGATTTTGGCTTCATGTCGTCGTTTGACGCCACGTATGCGCTGGCGTCGCAGTGGAACGCATCGATGAAGCCGACAGCGTATCTCGACTGTTCGAATACGGTGCCGTGCTACTTGACGTTACACTTTCCGCACTCGATTCTGCCGCTGTCGCTACCAGACATCGCCTCAAACGGGACCTCTTACTATACGTACAAGCAGACGGCGTCGAAAGTACTCCAGCTCATCCCTGCCAATACCACGGTGCAGGACTCGAACGTTGAGATTGTCCAGAGCCGTACGTGGATCCGACGATTGATGCGAGAGGTCTCACCTTGTGTCTAGCGGCGTGCAACCGCTGCCTACAGCACATTGCGGCGTGCAACCTCAGCCCGTTCGGTTGCCATGCTGTGCAGTGGTGTGTGGAGAATGGCAAAGCGACGCAGCAAGTGCAGAACGGACCCTTCTCCCCCGCGACCGCCGGGCTCTACACTACGCAAAGTTTGGACGTCTCGTCATGTCTGACGAATATGTCACTGGCGGCGGCGGCCCCATACCTCGCTGCGTCGAGTTGTTTTGTGGCCAACAAGTGTCCGGTGGGAGCGACGTGGAGTCAGATCATGGCCGATCGGAGTCTCGTGACCGCAGTGACGCCGGGCTTCCAGAAGATTCTCGTCTCGGGGTCCCTCACAGCCTACGTGAGCCTCGAATTTCATCTCCTCGGCGCCTTCCTTGGTCGTATCGACTACATTTCGCTCTACTCGTCGTCGTCCGTGCTCGCGAGCCAGCTCCAAGCAATGTTCAAATCTTTTGGCACCGTCGATGTCTGGATCTCTCAAGAAACCAACACGATGTGGTACATCCTGCTATCGTACTACAACTACATCGGACCGCTGCCGACGATCACGATTGCCACGTCGGCGTCCGTGACAGCGTCTCTTGTCAATACACAGCACCCGTCGCAATACTACCAGGTCGTGCCGCTCAGTGGCGCCAAGTTCGGGTTCCCGTACCAAGCCAACGGTGCGGCACCGACACCGGCCCCGATGACCACGTCGCCGACGCCGCTGCCCATGTATGGCTCTATCGTGTTTCCGTCGGGGTAAATATCACTAGTACATGTATTACCTCTGTGCCAAGAAAATTGTTGTGTGTTTCGTTGTTTTGGACGATTGAACGCACTCTGTCTCACGGAGGAGCCTCCGGGCGGCCATCAACGCCAACGTCTCGGCGCTTCTCTACAACGGCTCGCCCTCGTGCCGGTGTCGATCTCGTCCGTGCTCTTGGGACCTCAAACGCCGTTTGCGACCACATCGCTCAAGTCGATGACGCCCTTTGCATCACGTCCGTCTACGCCAACTGCATGATTGTGCCAACGGCAACGACAGCCGTCCAGACCATCTCGTTTGGCGCGACGAGCGTGGTGGCTTTGTAGCTGAGTCTGTGGGGCTTCAGCGTCAGAAGCGTGTCCAATGTGGCCTTGGCAACGCCAGTAGCGACGATCGCGGCGTCTGTGCAGGCGCTGCTCGGCGGTATGGGCCAGGTGACGGCTACGTCTGTCTCCACAGGCGAGACGTCGTGTAGCCTCACGCTGTCATATACCAACTACATGGTCTCCATGCCCGCGAGCTGGCTGTAAAATGATGTCCTGTTCAACTGTTTTTATGCCCTTGATAAGAGTCTTGTCAGGCGGTGTATTACCGGGATTACCACCATGTGTCTCTTTTCCATCGTCAAGCTACCGGTACTTGATCGACCAGCAGCGTCCGCGGTCATGAGCCAGACCCGTGTTGCGGAGTTCCACTTGGATCACCCGTGGGCCGACCTGGAGCTGCAGCACCCGACGGTACACAAGGGGTGCTCACTTGAACTCGCGGGCTGATGGAAGTCGTTGGCTTGGCGACCGACGCGAAATGTCGGGTGGTCTGATGTTGATGAAGGTGAATGCTCGTGGTGGCGACACTGGTCGAGTTGTTTTGTTTTGGCGTCTTGGTCGGTCGTCGTACATGAAAGTGTTTTTATTTTGGCGCGCATGTTGACCTGTTTTCGTTCTGGAGGCGTTGCCCTTGATGAGTATTCTTCAGCAAACAAGCACTCGAATCTGATACCGGACCCGGACCTGAAATATCCAAAGTGATCTACTGCGAAGTTAACCCTCCGATGTTAAAGCCTACTGGTTGACATGCCAAAGGCAAAACTTCTGTTCGCCCCGACGAAGTTTCGGTCGTAATCTGCTCGACCACGACCACACGGTGCTCAAGTTGCAGTCGGTTCGTTTCCTGGTTACCCTGAGTACCTCAGGCATGACGCACCCGCTTTCCATCAAATGAGCTACAGAATATGACGTCCCATCGTGCTTGGCACAACACCAAGGACGGTCCGAGAACTATCAATCTGTCCCAGGACCAAATCATGATCAAACGGCTGTCTTCAACAAGTCTTCAACAGTGTCTTGCAAGCAAGTCTCCAAAAGCAAACGATTCGAAAGGGACGAGAGGAAATACCGCGCCTGCGTTGCCACGAGAAAAGATCCTCGACGGAGTCAAGAGTCATGGGCGCGTTCGTTGAAGCATCGACGAAGTATTCATGAGGGCGGCGGTTGAGCGCTACAAATAGCGTGGGTTTCTAAACGTGGTGTTTTTAGCCGTTGCCGAACGTTTACGCGAGTAGCCAATCACAGTGCAGCGGCTCCCCACGTGGCCAATCGGCGCCACGTGAAAGATCGGGCGGTTTCGTCCCTCCAAGTTGCACTTGTCCGAGAGCTCATTCTCACATTTGCGTCGTTGCATTCCGAAGCCAACAAGAACATGCCGCAACCGCAGAAGGGCGCTGGATCCAACAAGAATGTCGTTAAGGGCAAGGGCAAGGACACCGACTCGGGCAAGGGCGGTAACCACACGGGCTCGTCCGGCGGCAAGGGCGCCCAGGGCGGCCGCTAAAGCCCCTTGGACACGTCAAGACGCCACTACCATTCCACGACCAAAATGCGCTAGGATACACACTAGCAATCGTCGTACAATCAAAAACAAAATAAAATAAAGCTCCTCAACGCAAGTAGTTTTCCAAGAAAATCAGTTCTAGCCCTTCTACTTCAACCCTGCTACCAGCAGTTTCTAATTGCGCGGAAAGACTAGCCCGTTGCATGGCATTCATGTGGTGTATTGCGTTGAACCAAAGCGGCGCCTGGGACGGCGGGATGGGATTGCAACCGGCTGCTGTCCTTGAAGCGCGGGAAATTTGAATTTGTACGGTGCGCGCTCCAAGCCGTTACACGTGTCTAATGCACCGTTGCGGTCCCATCCCACGCTCTTGTCGCAAGTTATCGCCGATCCCGCTTCTGTGCGAAGCAGCACGAAGCTCCATTGGTTCGAGTAGCACCCTGTAGATGGCTCGCTTCCCAGACAGACCTCCTTCTTTAAGATCATTCTTTTGACCTTATTTCCATTAACAAAGAAACAAGAAGGCGGCGAGTAGCTGGAACGTGGCTGCTTGGGCGTCCTGAGGGAATCCAAGCGCGAGGTTGATTGCACTTGCGTTTTGTATATGCATAGAATCCACGAGATGCCTCCGATTCTATTTTATTTTGGGACGGTCCCGTTGGCACCCCGAATCGAAAATTATTTGAATGGGGCCTCGTGCATTCACAATATATATACGGAGGCAACGCCATCGAAATAAAATATGTGGCATGGGAGGAATATTAATATACCGATCGCGTCGAGAATTCCGACGACGGAAAATAAATACCGTCGCATCGTCGCAGAGAACACGGCAGTAGAAGAAGTTCCACGCGCTCCTCCTCCATCCACGTACGCGACGGACCGAGGAACTTGGCGTCTCATGCTCTCTACCTCGTTCCTAGAGCAAGCATGGAGCGCCCCGCCAAGGTCGTGACCATGGGCGAGTACGTCGTCGAGAAGAAGATCGGCAAGGGCTCGTACGCGCAGGTCTACCGGGGCTACCACCAGGTCACGCACGTGCCAGTCGCGGTCAAGGTCATTGACGGCTCCAAGCTCAACCCAAAGCTCCTCGACAACCTTGGCGTCGAGATCTCGATCATGCAGCAGATGAACCACCGAACATTGTGCGCTTGTTCTCGATCACCAAGTCCAAGTCGTCCGTGCATCTCTTCATGGAGTACTGCGAGGGCGGCGACTTGTCCCAATTCATGAAGCGCCAGCCGCACGGCGTCGTCGCCGAGGCCTTGGCCCGGCACTTGATCCGCGAACTGGCCGATGGCCTCCATGCGCTCTGGCGACAGAACCTCATCCACCGCGATCTTAAGCCCCAAAACCTCCTCCTCGCCGACACCTCGCCCGTTCCGCGCCTCAAGATTGGTACGCCATATTGCATCGTGGATGACATGCGATGTATGCATATGTAGCGGACTTTGGCTTTGCCCGGCACTTGGCTACGGCGTCGCTCGCGGAAACACTCTGCGGATCGCCGCTCTACATGGTGCAAAGGATCCTCTCTTGATAGCAGCTCTGAACACAGCGTCCGTAGGCACCCGAGATCATGCGCTTCCACAAGTATGACTCGAAGGCCGACCTCTGGTCCGTGGGCACCATCCTCTACGAGATGGTATCGACGGCGTCCTTGTGGTGGTGCTCCTGGCTCACGACGATGCCACGTAGATCTTTGGGCGCACCCCGTTTCATGGCGCGACCCAAATGGAGCTCTTGCGCAACATTGAGCGCTACGAGCTGCGCTTCCCCGAGAACCACAACGTGCCACGCGACTGCATCGAGCTCATGCAGGTACAGGACATATGCCTGCGTCTATCGTTCGCCGCTCATGACGCAGTAGGGCTTGCTGCGGCGGGACCCGAGCCGACGCATGGGTTTTGAAGAGTTTTTTGCCCACCCGTACATTGGCAAGGAGTACGACATGACCAAGTCCATCGTGGTCCCACCGACGACGACGTCAAGCCCGCCAAACTCGATCGCACGAACCGTGACAGCGCCTCTCGACATCCAGCGCCGCGTCCCAGACGGTCTTCCTACCCACACGTCGCCGCCCACGGCCCTTTTGCAGCCACTGAGCCTGGGGTCGTCGACGCGGCTGCAAGAGAGCTACCGATCGAGCGTCATGCAGAGCTACCGCCGACGAAGCGCATCGACGTCGCAGCACCGTGCAACGTCGTTATCGATTCATCAGAACAGCCCGACCACGCCCATGAGCCCCGAGCTCGTCGCGTCGCCAACGCCACGCATCAACCCGTTCAAGTCGAGTCTCTCGAGCACACCGCCGCCGACAAGCGCCTTTGCGTTCACTGCTTCGTCGGCGCCGTCCCACTTTTCGTCCAAACAGTCGTCGCTAGCGGTCGTTCCGCGGCCCAAGCCCAACCCCGTCATCGAGTACACGTGCGACACGAGCCTCGACATGAGCTACCAGCGCATTCAAACCATGATGACGATCGCCGAGGCGCTCTTGTCGCTGCCGGGCGTGGACACGACGGCGTCGTACACGTCGTCCGCGTCATCGTCGTCGTCGACGCACTCGATCTCGTCGCCGACGGCGTCGAGTGACTTGGATACACACCCCGAGGCGCGGCGACAGGCGAGTGCGCTCCAGCTGTACCTCATGTGCTTGCATTTCTTGCAGCACGCGTATGCGATCGCTCGGCGTAACGTAGCGGCGCGGGCGTGGATCAACGAATTGCTCAACGTGTGTCTGGACCGCGCCGAGCAATGCAAAAAATACTGTGGCCCGCTGCTTTTGGACGCGGCGCTCCCGAGCGGCGAAGACGTTTTGTACTACCACGCCATGCGACTTGGCCGCGATGGCGCTGTCCAAGAAGTCCTCGGGCAATGGCCGCACGCGCTCGAGCTCTACGAACGCGCGCGCGTCCTCCTCGACAGCATTTTGGCGTGGAACGAGCTCAAGAAGACGTCGTCGACCGCGCTCTCGATCGACGACAAGCAGCGCATCGCCGTGTACGTCGAAGGCTTTGCGCAGCGCATTCAATGCGTCGCTTCCAAGCAAGAACCTTGAGGAAATTCGGTCCCAAGCCAAACTCTCTAAAATCCTAAAACCCCGCAACCCTAAACACCTACGACCCGCGCCTTCGTCGTCGTCGTCTAATATAATGCGTGCCGTCTACCATGGCTCTCTACACTGCCGTACTAGTGATTTTGATGGTAGTCCCCACGGCAGCATGGTCGTCGTCCGCCATTGTGGCGGCGGCCAACGGTCGGTCGGTCGGTCACCCAACGCGCGCCGGTTCGGAGCGTGTCGTTTCAAGATCGCTCGCGGCCAATCACAGACGCCGAGGTGTTTCGGTCGAAACGAGAAACCCCCGCCGACGGTTGAGAATAAAATTAGACGCGATTTTTTTCAATTTCTCGGAATTTCATTGCTCAAGAAGCGTCGCGAAGCGAAGACGAGACGAGCATGGCCGACGCGCAGGTGAAGAAGCTATCGGACGAGATCGAGCGCCTCGAGGGCGACCTCAAGGCGCTCGAGGCCGCGTGCACGACGTCCGAGGCCGTCAAAAAGTACGTCGGCCCACGCTGCGACCGTCCGATCCCTAATGTCTGCGATAGGATTGCCGAGTTTTGCAACACGACGCCCGACCCGTTCCTTGGCGACAACGAGACGCCGAATCAGTGGCAGGCCAACGCACAAGGCGGCGGCGGCTGCGTCATACAATGAAGCCGCGACCACCACGCGGTTCGCCATTATACCACGATCCTCCATGGTGCATGCTGTAGAAATATATTAAATTACTGTCTCTTCTTGCGACCTTCTTGCAGATGATCTTGGCGCGGGGCCGAGCACAACGCAGACGATTCCTCGCGTAGCGGATTTAGCTCACGGCGCTGCGTCGGCCATGTCCAGGCGAGCATGTATAACACATGGCCGTCGATTAAAAATGATGCTACTTTGTCTATCTACTTTTTCTTGGCGTTTAGGAACGCGTCGCCCTTCTTGCCTTCAAAGCCCGCGCGGTTGCCGGCGGGCTTGGACGCCTTGATCTTCTCGGCGCGGGCTTCGGCGGCCGCGGAGCGCAACTGCTTCTTGCCCGCACGCGCGTTCGAGGCCTTGGTCTTTGCGCGCTCCTTGATCCCCTTCTTTTCTGTTGAGACGCGCTGTTTCCACTCCTTGGAGCTCTTTTCCTTCTGCTTGAGCTTCTTCTTGAGCTTGTTGCGGAGGAGCTTCGGGTCGTCCATGACCTTGTCGCCCGACGCCTGCTTGAGCGCCTTCTCCCAGCCCTTGGCCTGCACGACGGCGCGGCCCTCTTCGGTCTTCTTGAGCTCCTCCATGCGCGCCTTGTTCGTCTCGGCCTTCTTCAACAGGTTCTTGATCCCGTGGATGCTGCGGCCGTTCCGCGTCTTCTTCTCCTCCTTCTTCTCCTGGCCGAGAAGCAAGCTGCCGTACGAGATACCGTCGCCCGAGACATCAGGCACGGGCGCCGCCGCCGTTTCCTCCGCGCTCGAAGCCTTGGTCTTCTTGTGGCCGGTCTTGTCTTGGTTGCCCGTCGGCGCCTTGCGCTTCTTCGTCTTGTCTACGGCAACATTAGCCACACGTGGTCGAGGAGATGTTGCTCCTCGTACCGGCATCCGCCGGCGTCGGCGCCGCCTTGTCCTTCTTCGTCACCTTGTGCTCCTTGGTCGTCTGGCGCTTGGCGCGCATGGTCTCGAGGCGGCGCGCGAGGCGCTTGCGCAGACCATCGAGGCCCGTGAGCTCGCCCTCGTCGTCCGAGGCCTCGGCCTTGGCAGCCTCCTTCTCCTTTTCGTGGAGCTGCGTCTCTTGGTTCGTGAGCTGGAGCTTCGGGTTGAACTTGAGGCGCTTCGCGACCGGCTTGGTGGTCTCGTCCTCGGCGTCCTCGAGCGCCGCAATCTGCTGGGCCTTGACGCCCTTGTGGTACTTCTTGTTCATGCTCTGCTTGAAGTTGTCCTCAGGCTCGGTCGGGAAGTACTGCGCGCTCGGAATGAGCTCCATGACGTTGCAGAAGAAGCGGTCCACGACGCCATAGTCCATCGTCGTCGTCGTCGTCATGTTGGTCTGCTGCTCTGCTACTAACTCGCAGCGTCGTATCCGGAAGCTCTATTGATTGGTGGTGAAGATGAGGGACCAATCGCCAAACGGGCCAATCGCAGCCGCGATGCTTTCCGCGCCTTTGATTGGCTCGAAGGATACCAGGATAGCCAATGAACTGCCGAGATATGCGAAAAGTGCGGCAAACGGCGCGTTTAAAGGGGTTCCGAACGTCAAAGCTAGTACGTATCAAGTGGGACGAGCTACGACGCGTGGTGTGGTGCGACGAGGGCCTTGACCGTGTTGGAGTTCCATCCCTTGCTCTGGAGCTCGAAGAGCTGCTCTTGTAGAATCGCCGTGAGCTCGATCGTGCCCTTGAGGATCATGCGCAGCCCCGACTGCGTCTCCTTCTTGGGATGCAGACGAGTCGACGGTGTCTTGGCAGGCGTCGCGTCGTCGAACGGGGCCGAGTCTTTGGCCTTCGCGGCCCATAGCACCGTCATGCGCTCGAATTCACGGAGTACATGTCATGTCGTTAGGTCGTACGACATTTGCTGCGAACATGCAGCTTGGCAAGGCAAAGGATATCAAAGGCGTCAGTGCTCAAGAGGCGCTCCGGCACGTTATCTTCGATGACGCGCACGGCGACAAAGTCATCGCGGTTCTAACCATGACGCCTCGTATCCACAAACGCGCATTGGTGGTCGGGACGCGTCGTACCTTGGCCAAGTAGTAGGTCTTCTTGGAGCCTTGGCGTCGCATGAGCTTGTTGGCTTGCGTCTACTTGCATCCGTCACTCGAATTGCAATCCAAATGCGCACTCGGCCGCCGTACGATCTTGACGGCCACTTTTCGCTCTTGATCAATCTTTTCTTGAAAGAGCTCAATCTAGCTCAAAATGTGGGAGATTCCAACACACTCGAAGATGCGTCACACGGCAAAGTCCCGTTCCTTCTCCTTCTTCTTGTCGGCTGCGCGACGTAAATACGTCTTGGACGTTGTGGATGATGTCTTCTACGACAATTCAAAAGACGTCACTGCTCCGTGTGCACGCGCTTGGCTGTCGTACGACTGGTGCGGTACGCTGCGGTGCCGAGACAGGTCGATCTCGGCTCTCGGGGTCGCGGAAGCGAACGTGTGCTTGGACAGCTACGCACGATCCGAGTTGTTTTGAGAAGATATCGAGGACTTCCGCTACGTTGACGCGACGAGGCGCGCGCGGGTTTGGCGCTCTCGGGGCGCGGTGGCAACGTCTGCAACGTGATGCCGCGGATTGTCTCGACCAGCTGCGGAGGCTGCGCCGACTACAGAGCGATGCAACTCATCTGTTCTGTAGGTAAACGCACCTCGTGCGAGGGATATCGCTTTGGGGGCGCCGAAATCGGACGGTGGTTGCCTAGTACGACGTTCATAAGTATGTATTCGCACAGCGCCTCCGAGATGGTCTTATAACCTCCAGTCGGTCTTGCCTGGACCTTCCCATAGAAGCCTTCGCCTCGCATCGCGTCAATCATGTCGATGGCATTCTCTTCCGACGTGTCCTAGTCGCATTGTAACTCGAATGTGTAGGAGCGTGCTACGTACTTCCTCGATCGGGCTGCCGTCCTCGTGCTGCATGTTGGTGGTGGTACTGAAAGTCAACTAAAGTTACGCGCCCAAATTAGACTGGCATGACATTTCTGGCTCGAAATGGCGCCGTTGGCGGCGAATCTGCTCGCGCTCGACGCAGCGCAGCTCGGGCTCTCGGTTCAGATGCCGATTGCAATCCTTCTCTTCTTGCGCCGGCGCTGGTTTGGCAAGACGGTTGGTTCAAACCACCCTCCGCAGCTCGCTCGCGACCTTCGCGTTAATCGGTATCCTCGTGCTCTTGCTGCTCCAGAACGCCATCTCGTGCACATTCCTCCTCGTGACTGAGCTCAGCGTCGTGCTTACGTTTGAGCTCACGGAAGTGATTGCCGACCACTACAGCAATGACGCTCTCAAAGAAACGCATCAAACTCCTCCGCGCCGCCTTGCCAATTGCGAGGCCTTGCGCTCCTCTCGGCGTTATGCAACTCATGCATGCAACTTCTCTGGCTCGGTCTCCCGACCGCCATCGTCAGCCCAAGATCGCGACGTCCGAGAACACCACTGTGGCCGATTACTTTGCGCGGCCAGGTCTCGCCACACGCGACCGTCGCGTCTGTACTCGCGGGCCTCTCGTCTTAGAGACGAAGAACTCGCCTTGTTTGGCGCGTAACGTCTGCGTTCAGTTTCGGCTCATGGGCAGGCTCCTCGCTCTGGTCGTACTGGGGTTTGTGATCTGCGTATCCCAAGCCAACCCCAACCTCCAAGCGTATGGCGCGCGCTACCTATTACTCCGCCTCGGAGCGGTTGTACTTGCGAAGATCGTGTTCCCAGTGCTGGCGTCGCGCGCCGAGTGCATTTACCACGACGACACCTAAGGCATGCAGACGACCAATATGCACCTCTTCGAAACGTATCTCGAGACACCCGAGGGTACCTTTGCCGAGGTTATTCAGTTGAGCTACGATAATGTAGCCGCGTGGAAGGCGTGTGTGGACTTTCAAAAAGGCGGTGGGGACGCGCACGCAATCTACAGCCCATTTTATTACGTCAAGGCGCAGTCGGCGCTCGAGACCAATATTCCAGCAAGTACATTTGCTTGCATCTTGAACCGCCCGCCAAAAATGTATCATTTTTTCGCGCTCAAAGTATCTTGCTATTCCTTCAGCGGCGTTTGCTCAACTTGAACTTGCTACAGGTGCGTCAATACCTGACGCCGCCCGCAGCACCGTCCACTGATTAGAAAATCTTCGTTCGCAACACTGTGCAAAATAGCAGCCTGCAGGAATTGAGCCCGAAATTCAAACCTTCTTCGTCGCTCACCATATCCACTGAGCAAGCGTGGGCTATCGCACGCCCGCAGCCGCGCGCCGCGCCTGCTGCAAACACAACCAAAGACGACATATTCAACACTGGAGTCCCCTGATAACAAAGTTTACAGGCAATGACTGCGATGAAACAGTAGTACTTGTAGTAGACATGCATGCCGTACTAATATAGCATAAATTACGCTGTGGATACATTTTCCTTGACAGTGAGCAAGTGGGTACGTTTCCTCCCGAGAACAAATATTATCAAATTATAGAATGTATTTGAGATGCGAGGCAATACAGCCAGTGCGGACACCACATGATTTAGGGATTTTTAGCCAATCAGAGGCGTTCTCGCTCGGACTTGAAGTGCGGCGATTAATTCGACTAACGTTGGCACTGTGATGGCTATGTCGACTCCTCGAATTGCTCTGCTAAAATACGTATAATGGGTCGCCAGTACTCAGTAGACACCCGGCGGCTCGTCATGTCGAAGTATGGCGAGGGCATGAGGATTTCTGCTATCGCAAGACAACTCGGCATGCCCAGGTCGTCGGTGTCGTCCATCATTGCCTCAGTGTGTGCGCGAAAGTGCCTGGGACCTGCCCCACGCCCGGGGCGGCCCCGCAAAACCGACGAGCGGACGGATCGGATGCTCACACGCGAGGTTCTCGGCGACCGCCAGAAGAGCGCGTCGGCTCTCCGGTTGCAACTCGAAGAGTCCATGGGTGTCAAGGTCTCGGAGAGCACAGTACGTCGACGCATAAACGAACATGGGCTCAAAGGTCGCGCCGCGCGCAAGAAGCCCTTTTTGAGCAAGAAGCACAGCTCTCCTCCTTAGTCCTATTCCGATCCTATTTTTGCACAAGAATGTCAATTACATTTTCTATCGATATATTTCGCTTACCAAAATCAATTCAGGACAGAGAGAAGTCCATTAGTTGTACCACGGTTCCGGTTGGACGAAGTCTTTGGACGGCCACTGGATGTTGATTGCGATATCTTCTAGCCGCAAAGGCCACAAGGTGCTTGGCTACGAAAGCGCACTCGACCGGGAGGTTGGCGTTTTTTACCTGTTTTTGAGACGCGCTTCTCGAGCTCATGGTGCACGACACGCTTCCGCGATTTCAAAACCACGCCCTTGAGAAAGGCTCTTTGTCGAAACCCAAGAGTCAAGAGATCCAACTTTGCCCACCACCTTGTGGACGCGATCGAGCAGCCAAACAATCTCGTCGTGCCGGTCGAAAGGCGTGTGCAAACGATGGTCGACCGCGTGCGTCGGACGCTGTACAGTGTTTTTCGCGGACAAAGAGAATCCTATCTTTTATAGTCTTATTCACATATCGTCAATTTCTCCGTGGCACCATCTTGGTGACGTGGATGCCTATAGGCCCTTTGTTACGGTCTTCGGTTGGTCGTAACTACAAACAGCAGCGTTGTCGTGCTGTCCAGCGACTGACTGGACGCCATCGATACCCTTTCCTCGCACGTTGTTGTGGTGGTCGGCAGCTGTGGTCGGCGAGTTCACGTATTACTCGTCGGTAGTACGAATTACGGGTACGAATTAGCGCGCCAAGCGGCCGTATCATATCCGGAAAAGGCGGCGGTTGCGCGATCGACTGAGCTTTCCATTTGTATCGGAGCCCGACGCGGTCGGTTTCGATCCGGATACGACAAGATCCAAACCGAGGCTGGAACGTCGCGCTTACTTTAGCTTTGTCCAAGTCGATACGAGTATGCCGCGAGAGAGCTATACGCCCGAGGACATTTTGGACCTCGAGACGCCGACCAAGTGTACTTCTTAGTGCATTCTTATATCGTGGCTCACTTAGCACTTAGCGTTTCTGTGCCCGATGAGCGCCAACGTCTATGGCATCGACTTTCTCAAGTTCCAGATCATCGACTACGACACGAAGCGCAAGATCTTCCAGGTAGACGACATATATAAGATACGCCATGTATATAATATGGAGCGCTAGGTCGGCCGCGACTGCCCGCCCCGTGCAGCCGCCAAGATCGATTTCTCCCAGCCATTGGATGAAGATTCGTTTCGAAAGATTCGATACGAGTTCTCGGACGACGTGCTGCGGCTGCCCTCGATCATGACGTCGCTCGAGTTCTGCGTCGGGCCCAAGGAGGTCCACAACTTTCGCATGATCGAGCGCCACTATTTCCGCGACGAGCTCATCAAGTCGTATGACTTCACCTTTGGCTTTTGCATTCCGAGCTCGACCAACACGTGGGACGCGATCTACTCGGTGCCATCGCTGGACGAAGACCTCATCCAAGACATGGTTGCGAACCCGTATGCGACCGTCTCGGACAGCTTTTACTTTGTCGGCGACGAGCTCATCATGCACAACAAGGCCGAGTACAAGTACATCCTCGAAGACCGCGCGCAGAGCAAGCGCTCGTACTACGACAGCGATGACGACGACGCAAAGGACGCCAAAGGCGCCAAGGCCGGCGACGCCAAACGCGCGAGCGCCAAGGAGACCAAGTGGTCAAAGGAAGACGACTACGACGCGTAGAGGCGCCGTGTATTACATCATTCCTAACGACGTCTGCCTAATCCAATTCGTCACTTGTCGAGTCAAGCGAGGCGTCGAGGACGCAGTGCGTGCACTTGCAGTGGAGGCCAAAGCGCTCGACCAGCGACACGCGTTTCGCAGCGCGCATGGCGGGCGTCGCGCACTCGTCGTCGTCCGTCGCCG